CCCCCAAACCCCTTCCCAGGCCCCCCAAACCCCTCCCCAGCCCCCCCTGACCCCCTGTGACCCCCCCAGGGTACATCCAGCGGCGCCTGATCAAGTCCATGGAGTCGGTGATGGTGAAATACGACGCCACGGTGCGCAATTCCATCAACCAGGTGGTGCAGCTGCGCTACGGCGAGGACGGGCTGGCCGGGGAGAGCGTGGAGTTCCAGAACCTGGCCACGCTCAAACCCTCCAACAAGGCCTTCGAGAAGAAGTGAGAGAGGGGGGGCCCTGGGGGGGCTGCAGACCCTTTTTTGGGGGTCGTGGAGGGGGGGCCTGCCAAGGGTTGGACTCGTTTTGGGGTCGTGGAGAGGGTGATTGCAAGGGTTGGGGTCATTTTGGGGTCTTCAAACGTGTCTTTCCGAGGGTTGGGAACACCTTGGGGTAGTTGAGGGGCTCCTTCCAGGGGTTGGGTTCATTTTGGGGTCATTGAGGGGCTCCTTCCAAGGGTTGGGGTCGTTTTGGGGTCATGGAGGGGGTGATTGCAAGGGCTGGCCTCATTTTGGGGTCATTGAGGGGCTCCTTCCAAGGGTTGGGCTCGTTTTGGGGTCAGCAAAGAGCTCCTTCCAAGGGTTGGGAACATTTTGGGGTCCCCAACCTTCTCCTGCCCACCCTGGGTCCCATTTTGGGGTCTTGAATCTCCCCCTGCCCAATTTCAAGCCCATTTTGGGGGTCCTGGAGCTTCTCCTGCCCCATTTTGGGGTCCTGGAGCTCCCCCTGCCCCACCTGAAGCTCATTTTGGGGGTCCTGGAGCTCCCCCTGCCCAATCTGGGTCCCATTTGGGGGGTCCTGGAGCTTCCCCTGCCCAATTTCCAACCCATTTTGGGGTCCTGGCTCTCCCCCTGCCCCATTTTGGGGGTCCTGGATCTCCCCCTGTCCCATTTTGGGGGTCCTGGATCTCCCCCTGCCCCATTTCGGGGGTCCTGGAGCTCCCCCTGCCCACCCTGGGTCCCATTTTGGGGGTCCTGGAGCTCCCCCTGCCCACCCTGGGTCCCATTTTGGGGGTCCTGGCGCTCCCCCAGCCCCATTTTGAGGTCCTGGCTCTCCCCCTGCCCAATTTCCAACCCATTTTGGGGGTCCTGGCTCTCCCCCTGCCCAATTTCCAACCCATTTTGGGGGTCCCAGGTTCAAGTTCGACTACACGAACGAGCGGGCGCTGCGGCGGACGCTGCAGGAGGAGCTGGTGAAGGACATCCTGTCCAACGCCCACATCCAGAACGAGCTGGAGCGCGAGTTCGAGCGCATGAGGGACGACAGGGAGGTGCTCAGGGTCATCTTCCCCACGGGGGACAGCAAGGTGGGACCCCAAAACCCCAAATGTGACCCCAAAACCCCCTGGGGGACAGCAAGGTGGGACCCCAAAACACGACAGGGAGGTGCTCAGGGTCATCTACCCCACGGGGGACAGCAAGGTGGGACCCCAAAACCCCCAAATGTGACCCCAAAAGCACCTGGGGTACCCCCAAAACACCCCCAGACCCCCAAATGTGACCCAAAAACACGACAGGGAGGTGCTGAGGGTCATCTTCCCCACGGGGGACGGCAAGGTGGAACCCCAAAACCCCAAAATGTGACCCCAAAAGCACCTGGGGTACCCCAAAACACCCCCAGACCCCCAAATGTGACCCCAAAACCACCTGGGATACCCCCAAAACATGACAGGGAGGTGCTCAGGGTCATCTACCCCACTGGGGACAGCAAGGTGGGACCCCAAAACCCCCTGGGATACCCCCAAAACACCCCCAGACCCCCAAATGTGACCCCAAAACCCCCTGAGATACCCCCAAAACACAACAGGGGCACCTCAAAACCCATCCCAGAACCCCAAATCTGACCCAAAATCCAACCCCCAAAACCTCAAATCCGACCCAAAACCCAACCCAAAATCCAACCAGGGCACCTCAAAAATCTGAAATCCAACCCAAACCCCCAAAATCTCAACCCAAACCCC